CCCCCCTCCTTCCTCCCCGCTGGCTCCACCTTGCCCTCATACAACGAGCTGTCCACTAAATACTCACTCATTCTGCACAAGGGTTTGTACCTTGGAGGTCACACCCCTTTCCAAAATCTAACAGCCTCTTGTGCCCAGAGATGTTACGATCCAAGAAGGTAATCATGATTTCTTCATGCTCCTACTGAAGGGCATAATTAAGCCCAATTACAAATGGAGAAACCAAGGCACACCAAAGGGAAATAGCTTGCCCATGTGCATTAAGACAGTCTGCAAAGAGGGCTCATAGAGAGCTTATTATCCTGGTCCACAGCACCAAAACATGCAGCTCTGGAGCCCCTGGCCCCTGTGAACCAAGTGCATTAAGATGAGCCCTCCGGCTGCTGCAGGTGCCAGCTGGAGTGGAGCAGGAACACCTCTGGACACCTCTCCTCTGCCCCCTGCATCAGGGATAGTGGCACCGTGTGGGAGGGGGAGATGGTGAACGGCACCAGAGGAGATGTGCTACTGAGGGCAGAGGGGAAGGGGTATTGACAGTAGGGGAGGGGAACAGGGGTCTTGATTTGGGCACTTTAAAAAGTCCCTGCTGCTCCCACCACATGGGCCTCCCACCTGGGGTGGAGCAGGGAGCCGGGAGCAGAAGGTGCTGCCACCCCTGCCACGCTGGCCACTGCTCCCACAACCCCCTTCACAACTTTCTGGGTCCGCACCGGGGAACAACCCTCCAACACAACTGCCAGGCCTAATGCTTGAAGCATCCAAACCACCCTTTAACTTGCCTCAGGGAAAGCAGGGAGACAAGTGCCCTCTCAATGTCCTGCCACTACAAGGACAGGAAGTGGATGTTCAAATACACTTGAGAGATCCAAGGAAGAGGAGCTCCCCCATCGCTACAGAGGGAGGCAAAACCCCACCTGGCCTGTGCCGATGTGCCCATGGGGTAAAACTCCTTCATGACCCCGAGGATAGGGAATGGTCTGAGTCCTGTTCCCAGTCCTGCTCTGAGCTCACAGACCTGGCCCCCTGGAGCAGACTCTCCTGTTCTGGGGTAAGCAGTGCTCCTGGTGAGAACAGCCCCGTCTGGTCCCTGTCGATCCTCCCCTTCATCCCAGGACCCCAGGGCTGCAGAGAGGTCATGGCCACAGCCAGGGGAAGGACTGACCCAGTTCCTTAAGCTGAGCACGTGCCCAATGGAGGCCAGGGTAGCTGGGTCCTGTCCCAAGCTCTGTCCCCAGGGAGCCTCAGCACAGAGGGAGCTGGGTAACATACCCTGGCCTGTGCAGCATTGGAGGCTGCACAAGACAATCCCATGGCACTGCCTTGCCTTCCCTCCGGGAGTGCAGCTCTTGGACCCTCCTCCTCCCAGGGTGTTGGGGATGAAGAGTGGGATGTTTCGGGACCCCGGGGGCAGGTGCATTGGTAGACAGACCTGGGACACTGAGGCAGGGGAGGGGGGCCGCAGGGCTGTGGTGGCAGCTGTGGGCTCTTGTCTGCATGCTTGATCTCCTGGATCTTGCTGTGTCACTGTGAAACCCTTGTGCAAGCAACACGGGTGTCTAACAGCTGGGCAGTGGGAGATAAGGGATGGGCAGGACAACCGCCCATGCAGCCCCTCCCATGATGAGGACAGGCTCCAGGGGTCTTGTCTGGACTCTGTCCTCAGGACAAGGCTTAGGCTACATGGGGGCTGACTGAAGTTGGCTTGGGAGCTACAGTGGGTGGGCCTCAGGACCATATGGTTAAAGGGAGCTGGTAATAAGAGCTCTTGGCATCTATCCCCAGCTGTGGGTGGGGACTGGGGTCCTTAAGGCTGGGGGACTAGAAGTGCAGTGTCTGCTGTTCATGCACTGGATAAACTACAGGCCTCAGTGCCATTAAACACTCATCTTGTGATGGACACTGTGTGTACCTCAGTGGCTGGCTTTGCTGCCTGCTTTTGACTGCCTGGAAAACACCCTCTGGAAACTGGGGTTTTCTTTGCAAAGCTCCTTCTACCATGACAGAAGCCAGGACTCCTGGGTTCTCTGCTGGGCTATGGAGGGCAGTGGCCTGTCCTATGTTAGGAGTGTTGGCTGAGATTTAGGACTCTTGGATTTTTTCTCTGAGTTTGGAGAGCAGTGGGATGTAAGGTCACAGCGGGGGGCTGGGAGCCAGCACTGCTGGTCCAGGTCTGTCTCTGCAGTGGTGCTGGGCTGGGAATTGCTGGGTTATTTTCAGTGCACAGAGGACAGAAGGGTCTAGAGGTTGTGATGCTGGGACCCTGGGAGGCAGCCCCTGCCCAGAGCTCCCTGCCCCACTCAGTGCCTCTGCATCTCCTGGGAGGAACTGCTGGGCAGATGCTATCTGAGCTGCCCCTCCCTGGCCCTTAGCTACCCAATAAAATGGGGCAGGCAGGGCAGAAGAGTCAGAAACTCAGCTCTGCAGGAGCCTCAGCACCAGGACTTGGGTAAGTCTAGGGCCTGCTACTCCACAGACCCAGCCATGGACGAGTGCAGAGGCAGTCGGTGCGGGCTGACCCTGAGAGTGCTGAGATCAGACTCTCAGCAACAGAAAGAGGCAGAAAAAGGACAATCGAGAGTCAGGACTCCTGGGTCCTGTGTCCAGCTTGGGCATGGGGGGTCAGAGCAGCTGTGCTTGGAGTGAGGGTGAAGGACAGAGGGGCCAGGTGAGGCCAAGGGCTCCCGGCAGGCTGGGCTGGGCTCAGGAGCTCTGTGCAGGGTTGGAGCTAGGCTGGTTTCACATGCCTGGTGAGCATTTGGAGGTCAAGTGCCAAGCCAGGGCATCCTGGCACACTCAGGCATGGTTGGAAATGCAGCCGTGATTGCTCTGTGCCTCAGTTTGTCCCTGTAAATGCCATTGTGTGCCTCAGGGGTGCACATATCCAAGGGTGTAAGGCCAGTTTGGCGTGGCTCCCAGCACTGACCAGCACAACAGGGGCCCTGACCCAGCTGGGTCTGTGCAGCCCCCAGCACAAGAGGGGGCTGGTCCTAACTGCGGGCTGCGCAGTGCTCGGCATAAAGAGACTTCACCTCAGTCAGGCCATTGTGATGTAGTTGTCAGCACCAGCTACAGCTCTCCTGTCTCCAGGCGATGAGGATCAGTATGTAGTGCTAGGGGCTTGGGGGCACACGTGCGGCTTTGAGATCTTGAAAGATGGGGAGCGAGATTTGCGGTGGGGGAGGTGAGGGGAAGGGGTTTGGGTCAGTGACAGAGGGGGTGGTTAATCCCCAATTCTGTCGCTGACTCCACCCATGTCTCCTGCCCCTTCCCCGCTGCAGGTGGATCGAGGGGATCTGAAGGAGCCATGTATCCAAGGGCTCCCCATGCTGCCCTGCTGCTGTTCCTCTTGCTGACCCTGGTGTTGTCCTTGGTGGTGGAGGATCACAAGGAATCAGCCTACGAGAAGTTCCAGAGGCAGCATGTAGATGAGGATAGTCCCTCTCCATACGATGATGCCTACTGCACTCAGAGGATGCAGGCCAAGAATATGACCCAGCGCACTTGCAAAATCATCAACACCTTCATCCATGCTGCCTTACCAAGCATAGATGATATCTGCACAGGGGCTGGGAACAACACACACGACAACTATTACTATAGCTACAGTGACTTTAATGTCACCGACTGCACTTTTGTAAGTGGCTCCCCCCCAAAAGAGTGTATGTACAGTGCAAGGTTCAATACCCAGAAGATCTGCATTGCCTGCACTGAAAACCTGCCTGTGCACTATGGCCCAGTGAGCCAGTGCAGGCCATGAGTCCTGCACTGCCCCGCAGCTTTTGCTTGCAGTGCAGGCCCTCATTGCCAAAGCCTGCACTGCTCAAGAAGAGAGAGAAAGAGAAGAGAAAAAGATGCTGATGCTGATACCATGTGTTTCAAAATGTTCTAAGATAAGAAAAAACCTTCATGCCTTGTTTTGTCTTGATATATTAAGCTCTGCGTGCAGATGTTAACCTCCTCCTTTCCCCCGAACCAGCAGCTGATAATTGTTCCCAAAACACAGTGTGGTTTTTTTTCTGAATAAGTAAACTGCTTACGTGTGACAAACGAATGATCAACATCTTTCTGTTTCTCTCAAGGTTGCTTTGTCTGAGCCCTGCATCTTTTCTCGCTGTCTAAAGTATAAATACACTTGTAAACTTGTAGAGGTCAGAGTTCCTTTGAGACCCCTCCTTGTGATCACTTGTATAGCTTTAAATAAACCTAGATGGCTCTGCCAATTCTAATACAAGCACAACGCAAAGTTTGATTTCTTCCACAATTTGGTGCCGTGACTCAGATAGAGATGCCCAGAGTGATCGGTTGAGATACAGACCATCTCCTCACTGATGCCCCAGCGCCAAACTAAGGTAAGAAACCTTTTGAAATCTCTACTGGGGCTTTTCAGTGAGAGACTGCCTGTGTGTCTTCCTGTTCGCTGCTTGAGGCTTACCGTATCCGACCCTTTTGCTGCCAGAATTGTCAGACCCACTATGTAAGTAGGAACTGTGAGTAGAAA